CTTGTTCAAAAGCACAGGATTTGACTGCTCCTGCTGCTCATGCCTCAAAATTATGTAAGTTTAATAGAAGAATTATGGCACAAAAGTACAATATCTGGGATCAAGTTAGTTAGAGAATTTAGTCTAAGCTTCACCATTATCTCAGTGTAAATCTTTAAACCATTTTAGCTAATAACCTTACCTTTGAAAAAGTTAAGTCTCAAAGCCTAATCATCTTTAATATAGCTAAAAAATAGGGAAAATAAAAGCAGAATTCGGAAAATCAGACTGTGTAAATGTCTGAAGTAAAGGGATTTTAATATGTGTTGGTAAAGATGTTGACACAAAATAAGAAATTCCCCTCTTGGCGATTGGGTAAGTCGGGCTGACAGTAGCAACTATTGGTAAGGACACGGAAAAGTACATTATTAGAGCAAAAAAGGTTCAGCTACTGTGAAAAACAGTGTGGCGGTTCCTTAAAAAGTAAAACACAAAATTACCATGCTACCCAGCAATTCTACTCCTGGATATATACCAAAAAAAAGCTGTAATCCCTACTCAAACAAACAGACATATATACATATTCATAGCAACATTATTCACAATAGCCAAAAGGAAAACACAGCCCAAATATCCATCAAATAGTTACCAAAAAAATCCATGAACCTATGAATGATAAACAAATTCTGTTATAGACATACAATGGAGTATTATTCAACCATAAAAAAATGAAGTGCTCATACATGCTACAATGTAAATAAACCTCAAAATCATTATGCTGCAAGCATGGTGGCTCATGCCTATAATCCCAGCACTTTGGGAGGCCAAGGCAGGAGGACTGCTTAAGGCCAGGAGTTCGAGACCAGCCTGGGCAACTTAGTGAGACCCTGTCTCTACAAAAATAAAAATAAAAAATAGCTAAGCGTGGTGGTGCATGCCTGTAGTCCCAGCTTATCGAGAGGCTGAGGCAGAAGGATCACTTGAGCCCAGGAGTTTGAGGCTGCAGTGACCTATAACCACGCCACTCAACTCCCAGGCTGGGTGACAAAACAAGGACCTGTCATTCAAAACAAAAAACAGAAAAACTATGCTAAGTCAAAAGAAAACACAAGAAGTCACGTAAATGTTGCACAACTTCAATTATAGGGAAAATCCAGAATAAAGAAATCCAGAGACGTGACTCGGAGGGTGGTGCAGGAGCGGGAGGAAGAGAAGGAGAGGGAGCAACTGCTCGAGGGGCAGGGATGGATCTCCCTTCCGGGTGACAGAAAGGTTTCGGAACCAGACAGAGGCAGAGGTTGTACAACACTGTAAGCACACTCAGTGTCACCGCATGTGTTCACTGTAACAAGGTTAATTTTATATTACGTGAATTTCACCTTAACAAAACAGAAACTCAAAATGTGTCTGGGGGCGGTGTAAGCATCTGACAAACAATGGAGGAGGAGGACAGAGGATGAAGAGGAGAAGAGAGGATGAAGGGGAGATGAGAGGAGGAGGGGAAAGAACAAACAGGAAGCACAACACTGAGAACAAGCAACCCTAACAAAGGCGGATATTTTTATTTTGTAATTATTCTTTACTATTTCGGCTAGTTAACTCAGTCACTGAAGTTTTTAATGGCCCATCAAAATCTTTTTCACCTTTCCTAATACTTGAAAATAATTTCTCCCTTGCTGAAGGAAACCTTGCCATAAATTGACGAATTCACAGGAAAAACAACAGCGTAGTTTTTAAAATAAAAACAAACCTAATTGCTCTGTGAATGTGAGCACAGACTGTGAATGTATAAAACACGCACGGGAATGGCAAACACCAAGCTCAGCACTTGCTCTGGCGGGGTGGGGATGAGGAGAACGGCACAGGCGCACCTGCTCTACTGCACCTCATCTACCGTGCCGATACTGCACTTTGCACTCGCTACGCTGCTGAGAGCTGGAGGGTCGTGGCACCCCTGCACGGAGAAGTCTGCCGGCACCACTGCTCCAACAGCGTGGGCTCACTCTGCATCTCCGTGTCGCCTTTCGGGGATTCTCATAATATTTCAAACTTTGTCTTTTTTTATTCTGTTATGGTGATCTGTGTGATCAGTGATCTTTGATGTTCCTAGTGTAATTGTTTGGGGGTGCCACAAACCCCACGCACATACGCGAGACGGCAAACTTCAATGATAAATGCTGTGCATTCTCACTGTCCCACCGATTCTGTCATTCCCCCATCTCTCGTGGGCTTCCCTGTTAACCGAGACAACCAATATGGAAATTAGGCCAGTGAATAACCCTCTCATGGCCTCTAAGTGTTCAAGTGAAAGGAAGAATCCTGTAACTCTCACTTTAAGTGAAAAACTAGAACTGATTAAGCTCAGTGAGGAAGGCAAGGCCAAAGCCGAGACAGGCCAAAAGCTAGGCTCTGTACCACACGGCTAGCCAAGTTGTGAATGCAAAGGAAAAGTTGTTGAAGGAAATTAAAAGTGCTGCTCCAGTGAACACATGAATGATAAGAAAGCAAAACAGCCTTACCGCTGACAGACATGGAGAGTTTCAGTGGTCTGGATAGGAGATCAACCACAACACTCCCTTAAGCCAAAGCCCAACCCAGGGCAAAGCCTAACTCTTTAACTCTGTGAAGGCAGAGGGGAGGAAGCTGTAGAAGTCTGAAGCCAGCAGAGGTTAGTTCATGAGGCTGAAAGAAAGCACCTGTCTCCAAGACACAGAAGTGCAAGTGAGCCAGCGTGCAGAAGCTGCAGCAAGCTGTCCAGAAGGTCTAGCTGAGATCACTGATGAAAGTGCTACAGTAAACAACGGATTTTCAGTGTAGACAAAACAGCTTCCTACTAGAAGAAGACGCCATCGAAGACTTTCGTAGCTAGAGAGGAGAAGTCAATGCCTGGCTTCAAAGCTTCAAAGGACAGGCTGACTCTCTTGCTAGAGGCTAATGCATCCGGTAACTTTAAGTTAAAGCCAATGCTCATTTTACCATTCCAAAAATCCTAGGGCCCTTAAGAATTATGCTAAATCTACTCTGCCTGTGCTCTGTGAATGCAACAACAAAGCCTCAACGACAGCACATCTGCTTTCAGTATGTTTAACTGAGTATTTTAAACCTACGGTTGAAACCTAATGCTCAGGGGAAAAAAAAATTCCTTTAAAATATTACTGCTCATTGACAAGGCACCTGGTTACCCCAGAGCTCTGACAGAGACGCACAAGGAGATTCCCGTTGTTTTCATGCCTGCTGACACAACATCCGCTCTGCACCTCATGGTTCAAGAAGTAATTCTGACTTTCAAGTCTTATTTTTTAAGAAATTAATTTTTAAGGAGATAGCCGCCATAGATAGTGATTCCTCTGACGAAAGTGGGCGAAGTAAATTGAAAACCTTCTGGAAAGGATTCACCATTACATATGCCATTAAGGACATTCGTGATTCGTGGTAGGAGGTCAAATATCAACATTAACAGACATCTGGAAGAATCTGATTCCAACCCTCACGGATGACGCTGAGGGGTTCGAGAGTCAGGGAGGAGGAAACTGCAGATGTGCTGGCAACGGCGAGAGAACCAGAGTGGAATCCGAAGAGCTGACCAGATTGCTGCCATCTCACGATGCAACTGCAGTGGGTGAGGAGCTGCTTCTTGCGGATGAGTGAAGACAGTGATTTACTGAGACGGAATCCACTCCTGGTGGAGGTGCAGTGAACATTGTGGAAATGACGACAACGAATTTAGAACATCACATAAACCTAGCCGATAAGGCAGCGGCAGGGTTTGAGGGGACTGGCTCCAATTGTGGAAGAAGCTCTGTGGGGAAAATGCTATCGAACAGCATCGCATGCTACAGAGCAATCTTCCATGAAAGGAAGAATCGACTGATGTGGCAAACTTTGCTGCTGCCCTATTTTAAGAAATTGCCACGCCCACCCCAAGCTTCAGCAGCCCCTACTCTGCTCAGTCACCAGCCATCAACATCAAGGCCAGACCCTTCATCGGCAAAAGGATTATAACTTGCTGAAGGCTCAGATGAATGTTATTTTTTAGCAATAAAATATTTTTACTTAAGGCACGTACATTTTTTTTTAGACCTAACGCTACCACAGAAGTAACAGACTGCAGTAGAGTATAAACGTAACTTTTGTATGCACTGGCAAACCAAAAAATTTGGCAACTTGCTTTGTTGCAATACTTGCTTTCTTGCAGTGGTCTTGAACCAAAACCATAATATGTTTAAGGTTTGTTTGTACAGGGATACAGCTGCAGAAGAATACTCAGAAGGCTTCAACAGTATCTGTAAAATTTAATTTCTTTAGCCGGATGATGGGTAAAACTGGTGTTCATTATATAATTCTCTAATTTTTCTATCTTCAAAATATTCCATAATTAAAATGTATTTTAAAAAAGAAAAAGAAAGCAAAGTAGCTTCCCTATTGAACCTACAGTAGGGAAGGAAGAAGAGAGGAAACATCTGGTGTATTTATCCCTAAAGGCGGCTAAAAGCAATGTAGCCCCCCTCATCCAAGTGTTCCACATGCAGAATTCAACCAACTGTGGACTGAAAATATCCACACACAAAAATAAATAATAATTTAAAAATATACATTTTAAAAATACAGTATAACAATTACTGATATAGCATTTACATTGTATTAGGTATTAATATTATAAGTAATCTAAAGATGATCTAAAGTATGCAGGAAGATATTCACAGATTACATGCAAATACTACACCATCTTACATCATACAGCGGGCTTGAGCATTCATGGATTTGAGAACCCGTGGATTTTCGGATCGGCAGGGGTACTGGAACCAATCCCCCTCGTATACCAAGGGATGCGGCTGTACTACAAATTTCTGGATAATTTTCTAATTGAATGATCTTCAAAGTTTTTCTAAATGTGTATAAACCAATAAGCAGCTTGCCTAAAAGTTAGTTAACGGTAGAGTACAAAATCAAAAAAAAAAAAAAAGACAAATTTCTAAAACAGAATTACTCTTCCCTTACCATAATTGTGATTTCCCTTTTACAAATGTTAAGGTCTGACACGTTATTGACATACATTCGCTTCAAAGCACATCGAATTCCACCGTGAGTCCGCACCAGGAAAACTGTGGAGAATCCACCTATAGAAACAAATTACCAATTAATCTGAAGGAATCAGA